TCATTATACGGGGTACAAGATCCTCTTTCACTCAACATGAGCCCGTAGTTTTCATAGCGATTATCCGTAGGATTATTCGATAGTATCTTCTCATCCGTATTTGCTTTCTTCCGATAGGTACCTTCTTCATCAGAGATATCAAATTAGTGCTCTGTGCGGGCGGCTCTTCAGCCGTGTGACTCCTCCCCTCCATTCCCTCTCCTCCCCTCCCCGGAGTCGCCGACTCTGGGAAGTCGGCTCCCTCCGCCGTGTAACCCTCCCCTCCTCCCCTTCCCTCCCCAGAGGCGCCTCACCAGTGCGACGTGTGCGGCCGGCGGTACAAACACCGAACGTCGCTGCACGACCATCGGCAGCGCCACGACGGCCGCACCGTGTGTCCCGTGTGCGGCACCGCCGCCAGCACCGTCTACAACCTGCGGCTGCACCTGCGCAACGTGCACCGACTGCCCGGCGAGCAGGTCAGGGCGCTCACCGGGTACGGCGCCCGCCGCGCGCCCGCGCCGCCGCAACCCGTACAGGCGGCGCCACCGTCGGCCCGCTAGGTGGCAGGACGATCACTCGGGGAGCTGTGCTCGCCGCCGATGTCCCGGGAGCCCGCCGCCTCGCGCCGCCGCGTGTCCACTTGAGTCGCTGGTCGAGCTGACGTCACCGGCTGGTGGCCTGTCTCCCAGTGCAGCGGGGCGGACATGTGGGTCAGGGTAAAGTTCAAAAGCTCAGGGTCGCTCCGCTGTCGTCCCCAGTTCACCAAGTACTCCATGCTGCTGCGGCCTCGTAGGGATATATGTATTATATCATATCCCTCGCCCGCACATGCCATTTTCCCATCCTAGAACGCACATGGGGGGGGGGGGCGGCGCCATTTCGTTCCTGTTGGAGATAGAGCTTCGCGGTAAAGACCAAAAAGATTCTTTGGGAAGAGACGAATCCAATGATACCCAGTTTTACCTTCTCAGGTCAGTCATTGACCTTCCAGGTCAGGTCAAACTAAAAATGTTGCTGTTTTGGGTCACCGTTGGATATCAAGTGCGCTGCTAATCATATACCGATGACAATGCCGTTTTCTGGTGCCAAGCCAGCTAGAACCTCTTTGTCACACTACCCGACCATATTTTTGCTGCTGAGGTCATTTCAGGTCAAGTTAGGTCAAGGTCAATGATATGTGTTTGTATGTCTGTGTGTGTTTGTGTGTATACTGATGTGTGCATCGATTGTTTAATGTTTATGTGTCCATATTACATGAAATCATGATCTGAGAAGCTTTTACCAAAAATGCAGTAAAAAAAAAATCACGAAAAGTAAATTCAGCTTGCCTTAAACGCAATTATTTTAGATGACCTAGGTTGACCTTGACCTTGACCTTGACATCTGTACATCGTCGAACAACATGTTCCATGATAGGTGGGAGGTAAGACTGGCAAAAAAGGCCGAAATCAAGGTGTCAAAAGCTCACAAGGCCCATAGCCAACGCAAGATGTTGAGAATTGGTTATTTGGGTCATGACATGACCTGAAAAACAAGGTCATATCTCCGAAACCAAACATCACAGAAACTTGAAATTTTCAGTGAACATCAAGAAAGGATAGAGGAGCAGCTATACGAAAAATCAGGCTTCTAGCTTCAAAAATGTTGAGTGCAGAGCAGAAAAACTACCTGGGGGGGTGGTAACCCCCCCCCCATGTGTGGGCGAGGGATATAGGACATGAGACAAGATGATCACCGCCGACCACACTGAGGCCCCGAAAACCGTTCCGCTTAGCCTTCGCTGTGTACAGGTATCGGTTAAAGTTAGAACCTGGGGCCAGCAACTCTGGGCAGTGCAGTGGCCCGTTTCGTGGCGCATGCGTTTCAAACGCAGGTGGCGTGGCCATGACATTCTTACTGTAATTTTCTGTATTTCGGGATAAAAGCGAAAACATCCGGGGAATAGTGATTATCCTGCTAGGACCGCGTAGAACTGGAGTCATCCTCTTCTAAATGTATAATTTGTTATTAACCCGCGCATGACTGGGGTATTTTCCATTACGCGAGTGACAGGGGGGAGGGGGGGCTCTCCAGAGCTCCTCCCTGCTATCTCCGAAACTACTCGGCCGATCGCCAAATTTAAAGGGCGTCTGATAGCCCAGGAAAAACTGTCGCAAGTAACCTAATTTCATTGACCTCGAGGTCACTGATGACATCAAAGATGAGATCAAAGTAAAAATTATCAGCATTTTGGCTTGTTTACAATTTAGGCTCTGGCCGCCAGCTAACAAGTCCGATCAGGATCATTTTTGGTTTACGCACTCTTTGATATATGCCTTAGATACCTTGAGGGTACCAAAAATGTACCACGAATTTTTCAGGTCAAGGCCAGGTCATCCTGGGTCTCGGAAATTTCATATTTTGTATCGGCCACGTGACGCATGCTTTAGGGTCCATTCCACTCATAGATTACGAAGACAATGTCGTCTGTGTCATTTGAGGTCATTTTTAGCTGAATTTACCTTAGCTCAGGTCACTTTCAGGTAAAAAAGGTCAAATTTTGATAATGAAATTTTTCAACAAAAAAGGTAGGGGAAGATGGGGGAACACCGACTCCTTTAACCTTTTAGAGTCTAGTCACATAATTTTTGGCCAAATGATCAATCTCTCAGTTTCATTGGATTGTCGCATCAATTTTACATGCGTATTGCGTATCAACCAATTGTTTTCTGGTAGTGTCGTTCATAATTGCATTATTCCACATTTAGTAAATGTCTACATTTCTCGGGGTAACACCGACCGCGCCCGAGCTCAACAGGCAACGAAATTTGCAGGTTGCTGGACTATTGAGTTGTTCTTCTCATCGTAGGTACATTCCCAGGTGGTTTAGTATAGGTATTGCCCAAGTGGGGGGTGTTACCCAAGTGTCTGCATTTTTCTAAAAATCCTTCAAAATGGCAGCACGACAAAAAAAAAATCGCTCCAGCAGGAGCACGTAATGCTTGGATGAGTCCTAATTATGGCAAAAAATACCACTTCAGGACTAATGTCTGTCAAATAAGATAAGTTTTCTTCTTGTTATTATACTAGAAAAATTATAGGTAAAACGTATTCACGAAAGGAAAAATTAGTAATTTCTCGCAAATCACCTAAACCAGTGCGGTGCATTGCCCATACGTGCACTTCTGTTGACGTCACGCTGCCAAAAGACATTCAGCTGTCGCCCTAGACCTCTTCATATTCCTGATATCGGGGTGGGCGGTGTTCCCCAAACGGCGGTGTTCCCCTCCCCCATCTTCCCCTACCTATCAAATGCAGTTTAGCTCAGAAACACGATGGTGCTATTTATATTGTTGTAAGATATAAAAACACACTAAAATGGATTTTTAAATCTATGATTGTGAAATTTTTACTATAAGGCGTAAGGCCATTTTTGAATATATCGAACTAAAACTTTCTATGGTAGGTCATCGACGGGTGTTCATTACATTCCGTTTTTTTTTCGAAATGTCAAAACTTGTTGAAAAAAATCAAAAATTATATTTTTGGTAATTGTATACGTATAGTTTTCAAAATTTTCAACATTATGAAATTCTGAATGAGCAGTGTGATAACCACGTTTATTGTACGTCCACTCGAGCAAAGAAATAACCTAGATCTAGCTTAAAAACTGAGCTCTTGAGAGCGATTGCCGTAGTTCAAAGTAATGCCTAAAAAACGGCCGACATGACGTCACTTTGACGTCATTTTCGGCCAACCTGTAGCTAGAAAGTTGAAGGTGTCAAATTGATGCCGCTGAAGATACCGCACGTTTCGTGTCGATACGTCAAACGGTTTGGAAGATATTGCCGAAAAACAGGAGAGGGGCTCTGTAGAGCCCCCCCCCCCCCATTCATGCGCGAGTTAAGCAATGTTTGCCATGAATTCACGCTTTACATTCGTTCCAAAACGTAACAGCCGTATGATAAGGAAAGTTACCGTAGTTTTAAAAATACAGGCAATCATCAATGATTACATATGTGTTATCGTCAGCGTGCCATTGCTCGTTGAGTCTACCAGAATGTAAGTACAGCGATACGTTTGTACTTATATGTACAGCCCTCTGCAAACTGCGTGGTAGGTATTCTTTTTTCGACAAAACCGAGAATATCGCGGATACTATTCTATCGGTCACTCGGAAATCGTAACAGCAAGACGCGCGAGACTCCGCACCTTAGATGGTCATTACCATCGTATTCACTTTCCATCCAGTTTGGCAACAAAACCCAAAAGTTTATATTTACCCCCAAAACAAACTGTTGCATTTTGTTGCCACACAAAGCATATACTTTGTTTAGTGATAGACCCAATCGAAGGAGTGGAGCATGGTGCCTCTATTTGCAATGAATTCCGACCGACAGATCACATAGTCTTTGAGTTATTACCGGTTTTGTCGAAAAAAGAATACCTACCACGCAGTCTGCTGAGGGCTGAACCCATGATAGGTACGATGGAGAGATATTGAGAGAACTATGTATCTATCACTATCACACGATATTTCATAACCCTTGAGGTGTATTTTTGGCATGAAGGGCTCTATTCATCTTCGTACCATTTTGATAAGTGCGCTGGACTTAACATCAAATGCCTCCGTGAGGCGTGAGTGTGTACTTTTCGCGGTGGGGAGATATGTTTAAACCGCTTGACACTATCTACCTGATAGTCTTTAGACCAAACTGGAGTGAGGTTAAAGGCTTATATGTATGGTGTGTCTGATAGGCTCATTGTCTCTCATTTAAATGTGTCATTGTTTCACTTCGGATTCCATTATCGCATGTCTGACGTGTAGTAGGCGATAATGTCCACTCCCATTCGTCAAATCCGGTATTATTCCCGGCCGATAGTCACTGCCGGGCGGGCGTTTGTTTTGTGCTGTTTGTTCAGGACTCGACACAGCGCGGCTGGTCGCCAGATAAGGCGTGCTCGCTAAGTTCTGAGCGCGACTTACTGCCGATAGACAGCTTCTCGGGAGACACTGATTGCGGGCGCGGCACGTTGCATGTCCCTCCCGCGGCCACTTCTGATAGATGGGTCAGTCACGGACCGCCGGAGGCCACAGTAGACAGTGGACGCTGACCCACGGCTGACCCGCCGTCGACCAGCAGCGTACCCGAGCTAAGGTCAAAGTCAGACGCCCTCAACTGAGGTCAACCGAGGTCACCAAAGTCACCGAGGTCACCGGAAGCCTTCCAAGATCACCGAGGAAGTCGAGTTACCGGAGTCTACTGGGGCCGTGTAAAAGAAACGGCGCTCGGCTCATACTGCGCAGAGGTCACCCCAGACCCGAGCGAGGTCTTCAGAGGTCACCTAAGCCGCCGCCGCTGATCTAAGGTTCCAGCAGCACTACTGGAGAAGTCGCGTGTGCACATCAGCGTCTGTGAGCGGTTGGTTGCCCGATGACGCCCTCTGAGGTCACGTGACACCACAGGAGGGCCCGTGACCAGACAGGGGCTGAGGACGAGGGTTGAGGCGACCTCACACCACCGGCGGTGCAGTGGGAAGGCGAGGAGACGCTGTTAGCTTCTCACATCGGACCTAGAGCTTCCCAGAACGAACCTGAAACTTCTTACAGCGATCCTGGACCTGATCGGAAGATAGTAGCACACCATCTATCCTTCCGTATTGCGGCGACTTTAGCGGCCACCAGGACAGCTTTGTGAGAGGCGGCGGGCCGGCGGCGACCGGTCGCAGCCGGAACACGCTGACCATGGCGGGCCCAGGCTGCCTCCTCGGAGCGGCGCTTCTGGCCGCCCTCATATCCAACGGTGAGTGACGCTCAAATGACAAACACTTAGTTATATTTTTGGCCAACATAAAATACCTCGACATGCAGATATGGGCATTTCTACTATTTACAAAATGTTTAGGATAACAGACCTTATTTGCTACCTTTTGGCTGTACCAATACCAAATTATTTCGATGCTAAGCTTCCCGGAAAGGGGGATGGAAATACGTTAAGGGGTTTTCGCCCTTAGCGTAAAAACGACGGCCATTCGACCTCAATTGCGGCGTCTGCTTGGTTGCCAGTAAAGTCCCAACAACTTTCAAAAGATCCCGTGGACAGTTTTACGGTCGTTTGACTAGACTCAGGTCATCACGTCACATAGACCGATGCATAGTGTAAATTTGAAATAAATCCGCGGGTTTCAGATCAGTACGTCTTTCGAAGTGATAGGCCAGTGACCTGGCCATGCCAGTCTGTGGTCACTGGACAGTGACCATCATAGGTCAGTGACTTTCATTGCCAGGGTATTTTTTTCACAGGAAGATTAAACTTACATGACTGGTTAGTAACCTCCCGAGCCTTCATAGCTTATATGTCTTTTTTTCTAAGATTCACATGACATCAGGTCGGTCGCTGACCTATCATCATTCTAAGTCAATTGATAAACATGGAAACTATTATTCTGGCGCGAGAAAAAAAAAATCAGCATAGTTTCGGCCACCCTCGGCCCAGAGCCATACCTATAGAAACCGATGTGTCCGGCGATGGTGACATAGACCTCTGCAGGGCGGCCAAAGGAGGCCGATTTCTGTGCTATTTAGCCTTTTGGGTAGGGCTTTTTGACCAGTGCTAATAAGAGGTCGGGAATGTAGAATAAAGGTGATCTAACTTCAGCGTCATCAACGATGTGTTTATGCACATTTCCCAGCTTGTTCGATGGATACCTGTTGGACTTAGATTTAAAAGCTTTTGACATAGATCTCGCCCTAGCGATGTCAACATTTATATCAGCAGTTCATAACTCGCCATATCTTGAGACCAGCAGTGTTCGAGGCCTACCTGCCTTAGCTGTACATTTAGGTTCAAATATACTTGGTGAGCGCTAAGCTCGAGCACCCTGTATGGTTTTTGGCTAGTTTTGCCCATGGCCTGATGTGTGACTGAGGAGTTGCGTGCTGTGTCCGGCAGCCTGGGCGGCCACCCTGGAGACGGCGCTGTCCGTCCGCGGAGGGACGTCCACCGACCTGATCGAGCAGATCCAGCAGCAGGTGCAGCTCATGGACGAGCAGCTGGCGGCGCTCAGCGAGGCCCTGACGACCATATCGACAGTGACCACAACAGTCACCGCCGCGCCGACAGAGCCGGTCACCACCGAGCCAACGACCACTGAACCAACAACTACTGAGCCAGCTACTACCGAACCAGCCAGTAATGGAACAACCATCACAGAACCAACCACCACTGAGCAAACCACTACCCAACCAAACACTACTGGAACAACCACGACAGAAACAACCACCACCAAAACAACCACTTCTGGAACAACCAACACAGGACCAACCACCACTGAGCAAACCACTACTGAACCAAACACTTCTGGAACAATCACCACAGAAACAACCACTTCTGGAACAACTCCCACCGAACCAACCACCACCGAAACAACCACTTCTGGACCAACCAGCACAGCACCAACCACCACTTTGCAAACCACCACCGAACCAACCACTTCTGGAACAACCACCACCAAACTAACCACCACCGAAACAACCACTTCTGGAAAAACCAGCACAGGACCAACCAGCACAGAACCAACCAGCACAGAACCAACCACCACAGAGCAAACCACTACCGGAATCACCACCACCGAACTAACCACTTCTGGAACAACCAGCACAGAACCAACCACCACCGAACCAACCACTTCTAGAACAACCAGCACAGAACCAACCACCACCGAAACAACCACTTCTGGAACAATCAGCACAGGATCAACCACCACTGAGCAAACCACTACCCAACCAAACACTACTGGAACAACCACGACAGAAACAACCACCACCAAAACAACCACTTCTGGAACAACCAACACAGGACCAACCACCACTGAGCAAACCACTACCGAACCAAACACTTCTGGAACAACCACCACAGAAATAACCACCACCGAACTAACCACTTCTGAAACAGCCAGCACAGGACCGACCACCACTGAGCAGACCACTACCGAATCAACCACTTCTGGAACAATCAGCACAGGATCAACCACTACTGGAACGACCACCTCAGAAACAACCACTGCCGAACCAACCACTTCTGAAACGGCCAGCACAGGACCAACCACCACTGAGCAAACCACTACCGAATCAACTACTTCCGGAACTACCACCAACGAACCAACCACTTCTGTAACAAGCAGCACAGGACCAACCACCACCGAACCAACCACCACCGAACCAAACACTTCTGGAACAACCACCACTGAACCAACCACCACGGAAACAACCATTTCTGAAACAACCAGCACCACGGGTATAACGACCACCGAGTTAACCACGTCTGGAACAACCACCACTGAACCAACCACCACAGAAACAACCAATTCTGGAACAACCAGCACGGGATCAACCACCACCGAACCAACCACTTCTGGAACAACCAGCACAGGACTAACCACCACTGAGCAAACCACTACCGAACCAAACACTTCTGGAACAACCACCACAGAAATAACCACCACCGAACCAACCACTTCTGAAACGGCCAGCACAGGACCAACCACCACTGAGCAAACCACTACCGAATCAACCACTTCCGGAACTACCACCAACGAACCAACCACTTCTGGAACAACCACCACTGAACCAACCACCACGGAAACAACCATTTCTGAAACAACCAGCACCACGGGTATAACGACCACCGAGTTAACCACGTCTGGAACAACCACCACTGAACCAACCACCACAGAAACAACCAATTCTGGAACAACCAGCACGGGATCAACCACCACCCAACCAACCACTTCTGGAACAACCAGCACAGGACTAACCACCACTGAGCAAACCACTACCCAACCAAACACTACTGGAACAACCACGACAGAAACAACCACCACCAAAACAACCACTTCTGGAACAACCAACACAGGACCAACCACCACTGAGCAAACCACTACCGAACCAAACACTTCTGGAACAACCACCACAGAAATAACCACCACCGAACTAACCACTTCTGAAACAGCCAGCACAGGACCGACCACCACTGAGCAGACCACTACCGAATCAACCACTTCTGGAACAATCAGCACAGGATCAACCACTACTGGAACGACCACCTCAGAAACAACCACTGCCGAACCAACCACTTCTGAAACGGCCAGCACAGGACCAACCACCACTGAGCAAACCACTACCGAATCAACCACTTCCGGAACTACCACCAACGAACCAACCACTTCTGTAACAAGCAGCACAGGACCAACCACCACCGAACCAACCACCACCGAACCAAACACTTCTGGAACAACCACCACTGAACCAACCACCACGGAAACAACCATTTCTGAAACAACCAGCACCACGGGTATAACGACCACCGAGTTAACCACGTCTGGAACAACCACCACTGAACCAACCACCACAAAAACAACCAATTCTGGAACAACCAGCACGGGATCAACCACCACCCAACCAACCACTTCTGGAACAACCAGCACAGGACTAACCACAACTGAGCAAACCACTACCGAACCAAACACTTCTGGAACAACCACCACAGAAATAACCACCACCGAACCAACCACTTCTGAAACGGCCAGCACAGGACCAACCACCACTGAGCAAACCACTACCGAATCAACCACTTCCGGAACTACCACCAACGAACCAACCACTTCTGGAACAACCACCACTGAACCAACCACCACGGAAACAACCATTTCTGAAACAACCAGCACCACGGGTATAACGACCACCGAGTTAACCACGTCTGGAACAACCACCACTGAACCAACCACCACAGAAACAACCAATTCTGGAACAACCAGCACGGGATCAACCACCACCCAACCAACCACTTCTGGAACAACCAGCACAGGACTAACCACCACTGAGCAAACCACTACCCAACCAAACACTACTGGAACAACCACGACAGAAACAACCACCACCAAAACAACCACTTCTGGAACAACCAACACAGGACCAACCACCACTGAGCAAACCACTACCGAACCAAACACTTCTGGAACAACCACCACAGAAATAACCACCACCGAACTAACCACTTCTGAAACAGCCAGCACAGGACCGACCACCACTGAGCAGACCACTACCGAATCAACCACTTCTGGAACAATCAGCACAGGATCAACCACTACTGGAACGACCACCTCAGAAACAACCACTGCCGAACCAACCACTTCTGAAACGGCCAGCACAGGACCAACCACCACTGAGCAAACCACTACCGAATCAACCACTTCCGGAACTACCACCAACGAACCAACCACTTCTGTAACAAGCAGCACAGGACCAACCACCACCGAACCAACCACCACCGAACCAAACACTTCTGGAACAACCACCACTGAACCAACCACCACGGAAACAACCATTTCTGAAACAACCAGCACCACGGGTATAACGACCACCGAGTTAACCACGTCTGGAACAACCACCACTGAACCAACCACCACAGAAACAACCAATTCTGGAACAACCAGCACGGGATCAACCACCACCCAACCAACCACTTCTGGAACAACCAGCACAGGACTAACCACCACTGAGCAAACCACTACCAAACTTACCACTACTGGAACAACCTCCACAGAATCAACCACCACTGAGCAAACCACTACCGAACCAACCACTAGTAGAACAACCAGCACAGGACCAACCACCATCGAACCAGTCACCACCGAAGCAACCACTTCTGGAACTACCGCCACCGAACCGACGACCACCGAACAAACCACCACCGAACCAACCACTTCTGTAGCAACCAGCACGGGACTAACCACCACTGAGCAAACCACTACGGAGCAAACTACTTCCGAACCATTCACTACTGGGACAACATCGACAGAACCAACCACTACTGAGCAAACCACCACCGAACTAACCACTTCTGGAACAACCAGCACAGGACTAACCACCACTGAGCAAACCACTACCGAACCAACCACTACTGGAACAACCACCAAAAAACCAACCACCACTGAGCAAACCACTACCGAATTTACCACTACTGAAACAACCACCGCCAAACCAACCACTTCTGGAACAACCAGCACAGGACCAACTACCACCGAGGAAACCACTGTTGGAACAACCACCACCGAACCAATCACCACTGAGCAAACCACTACCGAGCCAATCACGCCTGAAACAACCACCACCGAGCCAACCACCACCGAAATAACCACCACCGAACTAACCACTTCTGGAACAGCCAGCACAGCACCAACCCCCACCGAGCAAACCACTACCGAACAAGCCACCACTGAGCAAACCACCACCAAACCAATCACTACCGAACAAACCACTTCTGGAACAACTACTACCGAACCAACTACCACCGAACCATCCACCACTGAGCAAACTACTACCGAATCAACCACTTCTGGAACAATCACCTCCGAATTAACCACTTCTGTACCAACCACCAATGAGCAGACCACTAGCGAACCAACCTCTGCTCAGCCAACCACCACCGAGCCAACAACTACAGAGCAACCAACTGCAGAGCCAACAACCACCAAACCAACAACTATTCAACCAACCAGTACAGAAGCAACTACTACTGAACGCACTACTACCGAACAAACCACTACTGAAGCAACCACCACCGAACCAACCACCACCAAACAAACTACCACTGAACTAACAACTACTCGACCAACAACTACCGAACCAACAACTACTGCAGCAGTCACCACCGAACCAACCACCACTGAGGCAACTACTACAGAGCCAGCAACTACCGAGCCAACTACAACTGCAGCAACCACCTCCGAACCAACCACCGCGGAGCCAACTACTACAGAGCTAACAACTACAAAGCCAACAACAACCGAATCAACTACTACCGAACCCACAACAACAGAACCAACAACCACCGAGCGAACAACTACAGAACCAACAACTACCGAACCAACAACAACTGCAGAACCAACAACAACTGCAGAACCAACAACCTCACAGCCAACAACCACTGAACCAACTACTACAGAGCCAACCACTACAGAAGCAACTACCACTGAACCAACTACTACTGCAGCAACCACCAGCGAACCAACCACCACTGAGTCAACAACTACACCGCCAGCAACTACCGAGCTAACAACTACCGAACCAACATCTACAGAACCAACAACTACTCAATCCACAACTACAGAGGCAGCCACAACCGAATCAACCACCACTGAACCAACGACTACAGAACCAACTACCTCCGCACCAACTACTATAGAGCCAACCACTACTGAACCAACAACTACCGAACAAACCACTACAGAACTAACGACTATAAAACCATCTACTACCGCGTCCACCACCACCGAACCACCCACCACTGAGCCAACAACTACAGCGCCAGCAAGCACCGAACTAACAACTACAGCACCAACAACTACTCAAGCAACCACCACCGAGCCAACGACCACTGAACTAACCACCACCGAACCAACCACCACTGAGCCAACAACTACAGCGTCAACAACTACCGAGCAAACAACTAAGGAACCAACAACTACAGAACCATCAACTACTCAACCAAGCACCACCGAACCAAGCACCACTGAACTAACCACTAACGAAGTAACCACCACTGAACCTGCCTCCACTGAACCAACAAGTACAGAACCAACAACTACAGAACAAATAACTACAGAACCAACCACTACAGAAGCAACCACCACCGGACCAACTACCCTTGAACCGACTACTACTGCAGCGACCACCACCGAACCAACCACCACTGAACCAATATCTACAGAACCAACAACCACAGAGCCAACTACCGAACTACCAACTACCGAACCAACTACTACTGCAGCCACTACCAGCGAACCAACCACCACTGAGCCAACAACTACAACGCCAGCAACTACCGTACGAACAACTACAGAACTGACAACTACAGAACAGACTACTACTGCAGCCACCACCACCGAACCAACCACCACTGTGCCATCAACTAGAGCGCCAGCAACTACAGAACAAACAACTACAGAACCAACAACTACAAAAGTAACCACCGCCGAACCAACCACCACTGAACCAATAACTACAGAATCAGTCACTACAAAGCCAACTACTAACGAACCAACAACTACAGAACCAACCACTACTGCAGCAACTACCAGCGAACCAACCACCACTGAACTAACAACTACAGCTCCAACAACTACCGAACCAACAACTACAGAACCAACAACTACACAATCAACAACTACAGAGGCAGCCACCACCGAATCAACCACCACTGAACAGACGACTACAGAACCAACAACCTCCGAACCAACTACTATAGGGCCAACCAGTACCGAACCAACAACTACCGAACCAACCACTACAGAACTAACGACTATAAAACCAACTACTACCGCGTCCACTACCACCGAACCACCCACCACTGAGCCAACAACTACAGCGCCAGCAAGCACCGAAATAACAACTACAGCACCAACAACTACTCAAGCAACCACCACCGAACCAACGACCACTGAACTAACAACCACCGAACCAACCACCACTGAGCCAACAACTGCAGCGTCAACAACTAACGAGCAAACAACTAAGGAACCAACAACTACAGAACCATCAACTACTCAACCAAGCACCACCAAACCAAGCACCACTGAACTAACCACTAACGAAGTAACCACAACTGAACCTGCCTCCACTGAACCAACAAGTACAGAACCAACCACTGCAGAAGCAACCACCACCGGACCAACTACCCTTGAACCGACTACTACTGCAGCGACCACCACCGAACCAACCACCACTGAACCAATATCTACAGAACCAACAACCACACAGCCAACTACCGAACTACCAACTACCGAACCAACTACTACTGCAACCACTACCAGCGAATCAACCACCACTGAGCCAACAACTACAACGCCAGCAACTACCGTACGAACAACTACAGAACTGACAACTACAGAACAGACTACTACTGCAGCCACCACCACCGAACCAACCACCACTGTGCCATCAACTACAGTGCCAGCAACTACAGAACAAACAACTACAGAACCAACAACTACAATAGTAACCACCGCCGAACCAACCACCACCGAACCAATAACTACAGAATCAGTCACTACAGAGCCAACTACTAACGAACCAACAACTACAGAACCAACAACTACTCAATCAAGCACCACCGAACCAACCACTACCGAACTAACCACTACCGAAGCAACCACCACTGAACCAACAACTACAGAACTAACAACTACAGAACCAACAACTACAGAACCAACAACTACAGAACCAACAACTACAGAACCAACAACTACAGAACCAACCACCACCGAACCAACCACCACTGAACCAACAACTACAGAACAAACAACTACTAAACCAATCACCACCGAACTAACTACTACCGAAGCAACCACCACTGAACCCACAACAGAACCAACAACCACCGAACGAACAACTACAGAACCAACAACTACCGAACCAACAACCTCACAGCCAACAACCACTGAACCAACTACTACAGAACCAACCACTACAGAGCCAACAACCTCTGAACCAACTACTGTAGAGCCAGCCACTACCGAACCAACAACGATCGAGCCAACAACTACCGAACAAACCACTACAGAACGAAAAACTACAGCACCAACCACTACAGAAGCAACTACCAATGAACCAATTACTACTGCAGCAACCACCAGCGAACCAACCACCACTGAGTTAGCAACTACACCGCCAGCAACTACCGAGCTAACAACTACCGAACCAACATCTACAGAACCAACAACTACTCAATCCACAACTACAGAGGCAGCCACAACCGAATCAACCACCACTGAACCAACGACTACAGAACCAACTACCTCCGCACCAACTACTATAGAGCCAACCACTACCGAACCAACAACTACCGAACAAACCACTACAGAACTAACGACTATAAAACCAACTACTACCGCGTCCACCACCACCGAACCACCCACCACTGAGCCAACAACTACAGCGCCAGCAAGCACCGAACTAACAACTACAGCACCAACAACTACTCAAGCAACCACCACCGAGCCAACGACCACTGAACTAACCACCACCGAACCAACCACCACTGAGCCAACAACTACAGCGTCAACAACTACCGAGCAAACAACTAAGGAACCAACAACTACAGGACCATCTCAACCAAGCACCACCGAACCAAGTACCACTGAACTAACCACTAACGACGTAACCACCACTGAACCGGCCACCACTGAACCAACAACTACAGAACAAATAACTACAGAACAAATAACTACGGAACCAACCACTACAGAAGCAACCACCACCGAACTAACCACCACTGAACCAACATCTACAAAACCAACAACCACAGAGCCAACTACCGAACTACCGACTACCGAACCAACAACTACCGAACTAACTACTACTGCGGCCACTACCAGCGAACCAACCACAACTGAGCCAACAACTACAACGCCAGCAACTACCGTACCAACAACTACAGAATCAACAACTACTCAACCAACAACTACAGAACCAACAACTACAGAACCAACCACCACCGAACCAACCACCACTGAACCAACAACTACCGAGCAAACAACTAAGGAACCAACAACTAAAGAACCAACAACTACTCAACCAATCACCACCGAACCAACCACCACCGAACTAACTACTACCGAAGCAACCACCACTGAACCAACAACTACAGAACCAACAACTACAAAACCATTAACTTCAAAACCAACAACTACAGAACCAATAACTACGGAACTAACCAGTACAGAGAAGATTATCACTGAAACAACAACTGCTGAACGAAGTACTACTAAAGCAACCACTACGGAGTCAACGATTACTGCGGCAATCACCACAGAGCAAAGTACTTCCGAAGTTACAATTACCAACCCAACAACTGGTCATCCAACCACTGCTGCAAACACCATCCCCAATGTGCAATACAATGGGAACAGTTCAGTTGTCCATAGTCCACTTCTTCTTTACAAAACGTCATCACTATCGTCTGGCAATAGTAGCAATTGTAGTTCTGTACAAGAAGAGCTGCCCACTACTCTGGTGGATGCCACCAACGCTCTGGACCTGGTGGCCGCGCAGGAGTTCACTCCGACTACCCTGGCGGCGCTGCAGGAGAGTAACGACGAGCTCGGTTCGGCGCTGGTCTGTGCCGACAGGGGCCAGCTCAGCCTCACCGGACCCCAAGTTGCCCAGCTCACTGACATGGCCGACAGCGCGCGCACGCACGTGGCGCCGGCCGAGGTCGTCATCGACGACATCCTGGACCCCCGGTCTGGCCTGGCGCTGAGCTCGCCGTTCATGGTGGTGCTGATGACGCTCGGCTGCCTGCTGGTGCTGGGCGCCGTCGTCGCGCTGGCCGTCATCGGCGTGCGCGCCTCGCGCCGGCCGGGAGCGCCGGCGGCCCGGCGGCCGGCGCGCTCCCCGGTGGGTGGCCGGGATAACGCGGCGTTCGGCGACCTGGAGCTGGCCGAGCGGCCGCTGGGCGGCTGGCCGCCGGCCGAGCGGCGCGGCGCCGCCACCTCACGCCCCGTGGCCCGCCGCTGGCTGGAGCCCATAGCCGAGGCGCAGAATTTCCGCGTGCGCCGGTACCCGGCCTTCAGCCAGGGACAGCTGATCCCACGCGCCTACCTGAGCGACTAGTCGACCCAGGTGGGGTCAGCGACCCACGCAATAAGCAGCTGGTATAATAATATAATATATTACAGAATTTGTAGTTTTTTTTTTCATTGATGCTCAATTTTAGAAGTTTTAAGGTTTTGTTTTTCGTGCTAATATGTCAGGCGGATTTATGTTTATATTTGTTGTATCAATGGCAACTATGGCTTACAAGTGAAAAGGCTCACACAGCTGGACACGAGCACATACACATACACATTCACATACGCACACATTCATCTATTCGTGCGCGTATTTTGTGTTTAGTTAGGTACTCCGTTGTTGTATTGTTATGTTATGTAGGCATGGAAATTTTCATTTGGTTTTGCTTTCTCAAAATATCCTAAATTTGTAAATATATTGTTGATGGTGATCAGAAACACAAATGTTTTTTTTTTGCATCCAGCGAGAAATGCATTTTGCAGAAGGAAATGCTAACCGTGTGATTGATTTTTCGATATAATATTGAGAATATGACATGTATTTACAGGTGATGATTGTTAGAGTGTTATAACATGCTTTCCCTCATATTAAATACATTATTAACCCTCACCTGTACTGGCATTTTCCCGGCAATAGCTTGCATGTGTGCGTGTGCGTGCGTGTGTGTTGAGGGAGGGGGGTATCCGCTGCACCCCCAGCTGTTGGATGCTGATCGAGCTGGATCTTCGCGGAAATGATGAGCGTGCTGTCCGTGACGAGCGAAAGCCGATGATACCATACTGTAAGCTCTTAGGTCATCGTTTGACCTCCCAGGTCTGGTCAATGATTTTAAAGTTGGAAAAATTAGGAACCGTTAAAACTCCTCAAACCGCGCCGGGCCGGTGCTCAGCGCCAACCGCGCGTGGCCGGGGGTCTTTCGGAACATCCCCTTACCCGCGCCCCACTGGGGGGCTATTCATAGCCCCCTCCCGTTTTTCTGCAATAACTTCCAAACCGCTTGACGTATCGACGCCAAACTTTCAGTACCTTCGGCTGCATTAATTTGACACCTTGTGTCAACATATGAACTTCGTAGCTACCATACGTCGGCCGAAAAGGACGTCAGAGTGACGTCATTTTAGACCGATTTCGACGCAAAACATTGAACCACGGCAATCGCTCCCAAGAGCTCAGTTTTTAAGCTATGTAGATCCAATATCTTTGCATGGAGGACTCAGAATAAACTGCGCTATCAAACTGCCATCTCGGAATTTCAAAATTTTGAAAATTTTGAAAATTATATAAAATAAAATTCAGAATTTATATTTTTATATTTTTTCAAAAACTTTTTGACTCTTCAAAAAAACCGGAATATATGTGATAGAACACATGCTTATGACTTACTCTAGCAAGTTTTAGCTAAATATCCTAAAAAAACTGCCAAGTTATACGCATTATTGCAAAAAAAAATCTCAATTATAAATATTTCAAATCAATTTTCAGTGCGTTTTTGACATCGTACACCAATATTAATAGCACCATCGTGTCCTAAGCTCGAACTGCATCCAATGGACACTTTTTTTGTTGAAAAATTTTAACTTTGAAATTTGACCTTTTTTACCTAAAAGTGACCTGACCTAAATTCAACTCAAAATGATCTCGAATGACACAAACGACATCAAATTCGAAATCCATGGCCTAAGTGGTCCATAAAACATGTGTCACGTGATCGATGCATGATGTAATATTTCCGTGACCTGTGATGACCTGACCTTTACCTGAAAATCAAAATACAAGTTTGATACCCTCAGGTTATCTAGAGTAGGTATCTGTTCACGAGTGTGTAAACCAAAAATAAGCCTGATCTGACTTGTAAGACGGCGGCCAGAGCCCAAAATGTGAACAAGCCAAAATGCTAATAATTTTTACTTTGTCCTGACCTGTGACATCATCGGTGACCTTGAGGTCAATGAAATTAGGTTTCGCTCGACAGTTTTTCCGGGGGTATCAGACCCCGTTTAAATTTTGACGATCGGCCCAGTACCAGTAGTTTCGGAGTTAGGAGGGGGGGGGGGCTATGAAGAGCCCTCCTTGGGCGTGTTATACGCAGACCCCAGTGGGGCGCGGGTTAAATCGGCTCCTGGGCTACGTAGCAACACACGGTAAGCGGCATTAGAAAAAGCGTAAAAAATCATGACTTAGACAGGGGTGGACAATTGTGCCGGGTTGGGGTAGCACAAGCTTTCCCAATTCACGCCGGATTGGCTTTGGAGCCACAACAGACGGCGGAGGTCAAGGTCACCGCTAGGGCGGCGGGGGCTTTGCTGCGCCCGTGCTACCCCAACTCGGCACGTTTGTCCACCCGTGGACTTGAAAGAAAAATACATCAGTCATTTTTTTCTTTTCGATACTCTGCATTTGCTATTTTTTTCATTTTTTTTGTCGATGTTTTATTTTTCGATATCATCTTGCTCGATATTTTGCCTTTTCGATAGTTATTTGTTCGATGTTTTGTCTCGCTATTTTGCTTTTTCGATACTTTATCTTCGGTAGGTATTTTGCAACTCCGATACCTATTATGCTATTCGATATGTGCGACTTCGATATTTTGCGATTTGATATTTTGCCACTTCGATATTCTGTTTTTCGATATTTTGCAACGCCGACATTTTTCCTTTTCAATATTCTGCTATCCATATCTTGTCACTTTGATATCTTTCCTTCTATTTTGCGAATCGATGTTTTTCACTTCGATATTTTGTCCGGAACCCGTCCAACGGACCCATTTCCCATCAGTGTATTAAAAAATGGATGTTGCACTTCGCGCCGGGCTGGGGGGGGGGGTGTTTAAACACCCCCTGCGGTTTTTGGCACACCTGTTTGTTCATCTTTTCCGCACATGTTGTGAAAATTTAAGATCCAGGTCGCTCAAGGTCAGGTCACTAGGTCACGCCAAGTGAGACGCACCTCAGAAAAAAAAATTAGAACACTCAAACATCGGGATGCAGGTAAAATTGACACACTGAACCGGAAAATGGCACCTGTGACCCCTCGTCATGTCCTCGAGGTCATCTCAGGTCACAAATGCATAGCAGCTGTATGTACTCACAGTCCTGCACAATCCTATCTGCACAACGTCCCGTATCCTATCGATATCCTTGCCATAGTATTTTGCGCATCACCTCATAATCACCTCAACTGAAAAGCCACGATGCTTGTGGATGTTGTTGTATGTACGCAAATAAATAAAATGAAAATAAATAGCATGGGTGGAGCTTTTCCAGGAAAGTTGGTGGGGCAAAAAGTTGTCAAACCTACAATGTCGTCCGATTGTTAAGTTAGATAAAATTCAACAATGAATCAATTCTTTTCACTACACACTGAAAGAAAAACTACACCTGAAATTGGAATATTATTACGGTACACAAATCTCCACCCCTTTTAACTTCATTTTATGCCAGAGTAAAAGATGTTTGCATGGACAATTGGAGATTAATTCTGCCACCCGGTAGTAAGTAATATATCCTCGTAAGCTTAAAACTACACCCGTTGCGGAATAAAAGTACGGTACACAAATCTCCACCCCAAATCAATTCATTTTACACCCCTAGGTAAAGGGTGTAAAGGGGCGTTAGGAAGAATTAAGCATGTAATTTACGATGATAATTTTACGCCACAGTGCAATTTAAGCCAAAACAATTTCTACGCCTTGCGGCATGGTGTAGAAATACCAGCGGGCTGCGAAGCTGAATGTGTAAAATTTAAGTCAAGATGTAAAAATAGCTCACGTTATAATCCGCATACAAAACAAAAGTAAACGATAATAATTGTATGTTCTTTTCCAGAGGGAGTAAAAATACGACTGGGTAAATATACATCGCCAGCCATAACTATCCCCCAGCGTGATTGTATCTACTGTCGTCTTCTGAGCACTTTCGATAAAGTCAACTATGGTGCATCTCTCCAACGTGTTGTTTATTTAAAATAACTTGAAACGACAGATCACAGGTTGCTACAGATTGGTTCCTCCCAACACTGACTTCCCTGAGGATATCACAAGCTGCACAAATCACATTTTATTCACAGCACAGTTCATCAGGTCACTAAGTCACGTTTCATCATGTACTTTAAAAACAACTGAGCATTTCTTCGTGTAACGAGTATCGACACCAAACGTACGGTCTCTGAAATCAAAGCACAGGTCCAGGTGTACGAACTAGGAAAGCACTGACAACAAAAACGCCGTTAAAAAAAAAAACTGACTGAGGCCTTCTCAACTCACATCATCTTCAGTGCCTATAGGTACTGAAGATGTTTCACGGCACGACACTACAGTGCGTTACGTGTATCGCGGTGCTGAGTTCCTATTGGAAACATCCACATACTCGAACGCTCTCAATGTTGGAGCGTCCAAGTTTGTAGATGTTTCTATGGAAACTCAATACCGCGATACTAGTAGCGCACAGTAGTGCCGTGCCGTGAAACAGGGCCCTGCTCGGTCACCCGACCACTGCACTGGTGCCTCTGAATCGGCAACAGTGGATTATACGAAGGATGGCATTCTCGGCCGCACTGAGAGGAATCGCGAACTTCATAACCCGTGCATATATGACCTCAAAAAGGATCATGCTGGGCCCTCTAAAAGGCAAATACAGCACAGCGTGCGCCGCAGCGAAGGCAGCCAGCATCTTCATCTCACTGTTTGGGAGACGATATTTCACATAGCTGACCAGGCACTGGGTTTCTGGGTGAACGGACACAGAGTTGCGCCCATCCTGCAGCTCCGAAATCGTCGTGCCGCCACCGATCACCAAGGTGGCCGCCAGGTCGTCATCTACCAAGATTGAAAGATAAAAGAACTATTAACCACTGCAATCTTTAAGTTAAGAACGACTTTGTATGTCAGGCCGTCCATCCGTCCGTCCATCCGCCCATCGATGTAAATTGAAGGATGTAAAGAAATATTAAGCACTGTAATCTTTAAGAAAATAGCAATTTTGAATGTCGATCCTTAAGAATTGACAGATGAATCTATTAACCCGCGCACCGAAGGGGTTCTGAGCCAACTTAGAAGCGACGAGAGGGTGGATGACCGCCCCCCAAAGATCTCAAGAACTTAGTAACTTCGCGAGAAGCGGCAAACGACATTCGAAAGCTCGTAAGAAGGTCTATGAAAAAAGTACTTCGGTCATTTTTCGTTAGGGTTCAAAATGACGTCATCAGAGGTCATCGAAGGTCAAATTATGCGAGTAACCGTAAAAAGACCGACAACATTCAACAAACGACTCCGTAGCTCATGAACAGAAGAGCTAAAAAGTCGTATAAAAAAGGAATATGATGGACATAAGAATGACTTGAAATTTATTCCATTGACTTATAATGGGCAGGTAAAAAATGACCTATTCGTAGGTCATCGATATGCAATTCTGAGATATACGAGTTGTAGGTGCTCATCACCAAAATTATTTCTGTGAGTTTCAAGATCTGCTTTCAACAACGAGATAGCAAACTTCGAAGATTGTGTTTCGAGGTGAGGTCACTTAACGTGGCCTGGTGGCTTGACTTTTTTAAGATATGAGCTAAAAATTTCCAGAGTGTGTACGAAATGGATGTATCAACAGTCGTGCCAAATCT